TCCAGCCACCTAAATAATTCTAAGAAAGAAAAAAAGAAAGAAAGAAAAGAGAAAGACAAAGAGAAAGGTTGAAATTAGGGAAAAACCAAACCAAACCCTTGAAGAGAAACCTCAGTGACGATGAACTGGGTACTCACCTCTGGAACTCCGAAGCCAAATACTGTGCTAAGGTTTCTGTGAAGTGTGCACCCCCTACATAATCATCGCTGTTCGTTGAAAGAACCCGATACATCCCACTGTTAACTTCCATGACACTGAGGGACAAGGATGTTCCTCCAAGCTTAAATACCAAAACATTGCTTCAAGACACAAAGAAGAAAAAGTAACACATCTGAGAATCACGCATTTTAAAGCCAGACTGTACTTTGGAAGCCATTAGTTGGATCTGTTTACAATACAATGAGGCAAGTTCACAGCTGGCGTGTGCCATCTCTTGTCTCTAGGCACCGGAGTTGAAGTCTGCCTTGAATACACACTCTTCTGAAACCAAATCAATGCTCCTCTCAGCCAGCACGCTGGAGAAACTATTTTTCTGAGGGATTAGACTTCAAAGCACTAACTTTTCAAAGTAAATCAAACAAGGAGTTCATGACTATTATGAATCCGAATAGAATCCAGTACAGAAATCCTGTTAATATTATACAAGTTACTACAACATGGATCCAAAACACAAGGACACTAGAAGCCAACTCCCTATTTCTGGTATACGAGAATTCATACTTTATAATACTTTTACATCATTCTGGTTTACCTCAAAATAATTTCCTAGTGATTAGATACACTAGTTTCTCTAACCATGAGAAATTTGGACAGGGTCAAACAATTTGGACAGGTTAACACCGCATCTAAATTAATTTCTCTAAGCGTGCGTGGCCATCAACTGTTAAAGTAATACAGACTGTTCCTAGGCACGTCTAAAAACTGGAAGTGCAGTAAGACCGACAGCGCTCCAGTGAAGTGTGAAACCAGGTCAGTCTACAACTGTCCAATTTCTACAGCACAATGAGGGTGACAGGACTCTCAGCTTCTGCTTCCCTGCATCTCCCTGTCACCTGCTCAGAACTAGTGAGGTGACCGTCACGTGCCTTTCCTATGTAAAGGTCAGCACCGGGCTGATAGACACAGCTGCTATAATGCATTGGAAATTGAAAACTACAGTTCTGGTGTTTACCTCTTCCCGGTAGGGCAGTCTTGTCCAATCCCGTAGGCCAGAAGAGCTGCAGATGGCTCATGTATTAGTCGCAACACATTAAATCCAGCGGCTCCAGCTGCTTCTCTGGGGACAATTTGCTCTCAGTGAATTTCATATCACAACATGCTCAGGCCTATACTTGTAGCTATGCTCTGCTGAAAGGGTCACGCATTAGCAAATGATACTCCACAAGAGAGTGCAAGAAGTAGAACACGTGAAAAGGAAGCGACTGGAATTCACTTTCTGGTTAAAAATACACTGTTTAGAGCCTGTTTTCTTGACAACATGGTTTGTGCTTACAAAGTATTAATTGAGAAAAAAATGAAGCTGTCGGGGCTTGGGGGTGCCTCAGTCGGCAAACAGGCCTGCTACACAGGCATGAGGATCTGGGTTTGAATCCCCAGCACCCATATAAAACACAAGTGTGGTGGTGTGTGTCTGTAACCACAGTGCTGGGGCAGGGTGTGTGTGCGCCAGTGTGGCAGGACAGGACAGGATCATAACCAGGCTGCCCAGGCATACGGTTGATTGCCAGGTCCAATGAGAGACCCTGTCTCAAGAGATGGGGTGGAAAGTGACCGAAGAAGACACCCGGTGGGGTCCTCTGGCCTCCAAAGGTACCAGCAAACACATGTGCACTGTACATGTGCAGACAGACACACAAAAAAGAAAGAAATGGAAAAAGATAGTTCTCAAATACATCTATGGTTAAAAAAAAAAAGTTCACTTCTGGGGAGTCTCTGGGCTCTGAAAGTCTAGGATCAGTACTTTGCCTCCATACAGTTCAGAACACCCCCTTTGAAGCAATGACCACACTGTCCTAATTAGTTAATTCTGAGGTCAGAGTCACGTCTCACTCATCTCCATGTACTCTACCAAATACAATGTACCTTAGGAGGTGAAAGAAGTCAGTAATTTTTGACTGAATGAACAAAGCAAATAAATCCCCATAACAAATTTTAGGAAGTGATAAAAATGTCTAAAACATCATGGAAGTCTCCAATTTCTTTACTCTGGGCCCACAAATAAATACGGCAATTCTGGTAGCCAAAACACAGGCAGAACTCTACCAAGCAGAGTAAGGGCACCCATGTTCATGACACCTGTGAGGACCAAATGGACCTTTTTTTGTTTAGATGTTAAGAATTACGATAAATTATAATTGTCTGGTCCCAAGAAATCCCCTTTCCCAAAGTCTGGTGTTAGACAAAACTCAGTACCCCCTACCTGCTATAAGGAAGCATTCTCCTTATTTCTAGCAAGAGAAACCTCTGCCTCTTCCATTAACATACACTTGTGGTGCCTATTAGCATACCAAGGTCTGTGCTAACTTCTAAACTCCTTCAGTCTTCACTCAACAAATACCTGTTGAGTACACTTCAAAGTCCTCCACCCCAGCTTACAGATTTCCCTCCTCCCAGGTACCCATGTTCTTTAAAGCCCTGGAATGCCTCCCCTTCCCCCGCCCCCTGCTTCCCTCACAGACAGCCTAGGCGGTTTGGAATAAACTCATCCCTTTTACCACAGAGCAGCTATTTTGATTTCTTTAGTGTGCCCATTTTATTCAATAATCACCCATATTTTTTTTATAATATTCTTATGTATTTCCCACATAAACTTCAATTACATGAAACAGGCAAAGTGATTCATAAACAGTTCCTAATCAAAACAGTTAAGAGGGCACACAGCATCTAATACTAAATTCTCTTGGCGCTTCATAAAAAGAAGTATTAATGACATTACCATGAAATAACTTATGAATGCCATTGTACTGCCTAAGCTATTTCTAAATGTAACTTTACATTTTATGACTGAGTGCAATTTGCATTTAACTAACCAAGTTAAGACAGTTACACTTACCCCAGAGCAGATTTTTGCTTTTCTCCAAAATCAAACGGGACGGTAATAACTACATCATTTGCATCTGAGCCCAAGACAGAATGTGCTGTTTCTGTACATTTAAAAGCAAACATAAATAAACACATTATGATGAGACATGTTAAGTGATGAAACTTTCTGTAGTTTCCCAATTGAAGCCAAAGATTTTCTCACTATACAAAAGTCCCAATTCTGTGCATCCTGTCCCCTCCCCTCCTGTGGCTCCTCAGCCATGCAGTGCTTCTTGTGGTTTTCATGATGGCTTATGGACACAGAACCAGATACTTTCCAAAGAGCCCAACTTTTCAGTCTTGGACTGAGATCTAAATTAGATTGGGTCCAGGGGACTAGTTCCAAAGACATTAATCTGAAGAGCCCCCTTGCCCCCCCCCCCCCCCCATGAGCTCAGGACATTAAAAGACTGCCTTGACTCTCACAAGATTTTTTTTTTTTTTGGTTTTTCAAGACAGGGTTTTTCTCTGTGTAGCCCTGGCTGTGGAACTGGCTCTGCAGACCAGGCTAGCCTAAACTCAGGGATTCACCTGCTTCTGCCTCCTGAGTACTGGGATTAAAGGTGTGCACCACCACAGCCCGGCTCCTCACAAGATCTTAACGACTGCAGAGCTGAACTGAGCCTCGTACGGAATCTACAGAGAATTTCCCAAATTGTTCTACAAGGTGCCACTGACTCGCTGAGCCTTTGTCTGGAGTGGTGGTAAGCCAGTGTCAATCTGCCCACATCACCCTGGGGAGGGCACTGCCAACCTTGAAGTTCTGAAGTTGTTAATCTGGCCTGAACCTTTTACACTACGATTTAAATAGCTGGAACCTGCAATGCTCAACAAGTTCTTAATTTTGGAAAGGTTTGGAGTTCAGAATTCTGGATTCTTTTTTTTTTTTTTTGGTTTTTTGGAATAGGGTTTCTTTGTGTAGTTTTGGTGCCTGTCCTGGCTCTCGATCTGTAGACCAGGCTGGCCTCCAACTCACAGAGATCCATCCGCTTGGCTCTGCCTCCCAAGTGCTGGGATTAAAGGTGTGTGCCACTACCACCCGGCGGATTACGGATTCTTTTTTTTTTTTTTTGGTTTTTCGAGACAGGGTTTCTCTGTGTAGCTTTGCGCCTTTCCTGGAACTCGCTTTGGAGACCAGGCTGGCCTTGAACTCACAGAGATCCGCCTGGCTCTGCCTCCCGAGTGCTGGGATTAAAGGCGTGCGCCACCACCGCCCGGCTGGATTACGGATTCTTAACTGGCAGATTCTAGGGAAACATCCCCAAATTTGAAAATTCCTGAAAGTTTGTATACCTTTGGTCCCAAGCATTTAAGATATGAGATATTCAACCTGTTCTTACAGGGAAGGTTATGGTTAGAGCCAATTGGCAGCCAAGCAAAATCTAGTTTAGATCTAACTGCTGCTTTGTGGGGTCACTCACTGTTTTCCCCTTCAAATCTTTTTCTTTGCTCGTGTGTGTGTGTGTGTGTGTGTGTGTGTGTGTGTGTGTGTGTGCGCGCGCGCGTGCGTGTGTATGCTAAGATGGCTTTAACTTGCCTAGAACTCTTCAAGCAGGCCAGGATGGTCAGCCAGCAAGTCCCAAGCATGCATCTTTCTCCAACTCCTCGCACTGGGAACCACCATCCCAACTGTTTTAATGTTAAGGAACCATTTAAAATTAATAGTTAGGGGATGCAGAGGTGGCTCAGTAGTTAAGAACATGCATTGTTCTTGCAGAGATCCTAAGTTCAATTCCCAGCACCCACATCAAGCAGCTCCAGGGGAGGCCTCTAACCTCAGGCATATGCACATATGTAGGCATATACACTTGTACATGTAAATAAGTTATATAAAAAAAGTTGCAAAATAAAATAATTTCACAGTTAACTTTTGTACAGTACCTTTCATTTTTCTGAATATCAGTCTGGCAACATCTTCCGGATTAACAAGTTTTGTTTCTTCTCCAGTATCTATTTCATATCGCAATTTCCCATTTTTCTCAATGACCTGAAAAATTACAATTATGTCAAATATAGAATTAAATAAAAACTTTAAACGAATTTCAGTTTAATACTGTATGTCATGACCTTTGGCAATTAATTACATTGGGCAAGAAGGAGAGTAAAAGAACCATACTCACTAAACATTTACTTTCCGAGATGTATTTCTGAGCTTGTGGATCGGCAGGGCTGTTCATAAAGAAAGATATAAAGATACCTCAGCATTAAAAAATTAATATTGTAGATACCTAAGGCTTAAAAGTCTGTACCTTTCACATCACTGAGTAGACACACAAATACATCAACAAAATTATTAAACTGCTCAATAATAACAGATGCTTGAATTCAGTGGAGGGTTTACAACAGCTATAATTGTTATTCTTTGCATTTGAAAGTAATTAACTCTCTTGTTCTGACCTTGCCATACATTTTTGAATGAGTCTGAATACTGCCAATGATCTTATACCCTACACTTTCACACCTATGATCCTGAAGACCCAACCACCGAGATACAAAGGACAAGAGGAGATAACACTGTCAACTCAGGGTAAAGACCGAACCCACATTTGTTCCTGGGTTTCTATACATGAAAATTAACACACAAAACCAAAATACTGAGCAAAAGTTTGGATGTTCTATATGGAAAGTTGTACCAATAGACATTATCTTAGTACCCCATATAAAATACCAAATCTCTGAAGGCAAAAATGTACTGGTATGTCACTAAGATGTTAACACCAATGTATGCAGTTGACACTATTTTCAAACTTACCACCCATTCAGCCTCATAACACCCAGTGGGCCAGGTTAGGTGTGCAGTATTTTAGAGACATGTTCAGAGAGGGGTGGTTACTTCCAGGACTTGACCCCAGCTACAGTTCAGGGGCTTCCGCTGACATTGTAAATGACCACTCTAATTCTGCCCCTCAAAGACGGGTGGGAACTCTGATCCTTCACTTAATATCAAGTAGAAATTGCAACCAAGTAGTTTGCACCTTCCTAGTAGTCTTCTAAAGAGCTGTGGCTCTTCTCTATACAATGTGTTAAAAGCTTAATAAGAGATGGAAATTAATAGTGGCCAGTGGTGGGCCCCGGGGTCACTTGAGAACCGTAACCTCTGCCATCTGAGGGGACAAAAAGGGTTTCAAATAGGCTAATTTGGTCTAGAACTCTGGAATCACATGTGGGTTCACCTTACCTTTCTCCTACCACCGAAAAATCAATTGAGAATTAATTAGTAGAGGCCAGAGGTAAGCTTGCTCCACGTGTCACAGCTAATTAATGATGTAACTGCCAGCAACCAGATCCACAGTGTAGGATTTAGTTTGTCTGGTTTTTTTTTTAAATGAAACTGCCTGCCCCTCCTGTTTTCTGAACCATGTGACCCTTATTCCAGATATTTTAAGGAAGTAGAAGAGATAAAGTTTCCCCAGAGTGGGATTTTGTACCCTTAGATTTTGTGTTCTAAGTTCCGCATAGTTCTCAGGGGTTCAGAACAGAATTCAAGTTAGCCAGGAACATCTACTGTATGGAGTTTAAGTTATTGTCGCATAGGGTCACTTTCAAGGAAGGGTGTTTTATGGAATTAATAAACTCTCTTTCCTGTCATGCAAAGAGGGCCTCTTTCATCTGAGGACAGGATGCACATGTAGCATGGGGGGGAGGGGCGCAGCAACACATACATCAATGACACCAGAGACTCACAAGTAGACACAGAGAAAGCAGGGTGGAGGTGACAAAGGATCCCTCAGAAAGTAGTGGACAGACCCACAACTCCACACAAGTCTCAACTTTATTTGTCCACACCAGGCAGGATTCAGGTATGTAACAGGAACAGAGGTGGTGGGCGGTTGGCACAGACAGCAGCACCTCATTCACACTGCGGCCTTCAGGAGGCGTTGACCCTACCATCGCACCACAGCTTTTTACCGGCCATGCCATGTCCACTTTCTCCTCAAGCATCTCTTACAGTTATCAGGGCCCCTGGGTTTGCCAATACCGGCACTCAAGCGCTACAGGGTCTCCTTCCCCACCCCTGTTACATTCCAGTGCCTACACATCTAAATGTACATTCATCTGTGTGCTGGATCCTCACAACACCCCTGTGAGGTAGGTAGGACAGGCAGTGTTAGTTCCCACGCTAGATGAAGAACCTGAGTTACAGAATGTGAGAGGCTTGTTGGAGGAGGTAACGGCAGGCCCGAAGCTCAGGCCTCTCTTGCGCATGGCCTCCACCACTGCACTGTCTCTTTTAGTATTCTGCATGTTTTCTTGTTAACTCCTCAGGACCTTGAGTTTTATTCTTATTTTGGTTACTCTGCCTACTAGGGTTTTCAAAATACCCCAATTTAACTCCACTTCTGTCCTTTAGCATTTCTCTCCTATCAAATACATGCCCATCTACATACTGTCACCATTAGATTTATATGGCACAGGTCTAAGTCTCCTTAAAGTACTTCTCTGTTTTGTTTTGTTTTTTTCCAGAAAACTTATCAGTATTAGCTTTATTTGGTTACAACAGATATGCATCTTTCCACGTCATGGCCTAAAACAAGAAACAACATACACTTATATATCCACTTCAATGAAAGAAAGGCATCTATGATGTTCAGTATGATGCTCAGAACTTTCACCAGCGTATCAATAAACATCAATACCATAGAAGGGGTCCTTAAGTACAACTGTAAACAGTATTTCAAATATACATTAATAGCTGCCGACTGAAAATATTATAAATAGCTCACCTCCACTTTTACCTTTACCATGTTATTTAAAATTCTAGAACTAAAAGGTACTATAAAAATTATCTAATAAAAATTTCTCAACTTAGAGATTTAAAAAAATTGAGGCACAGAAAGGGTAAGTGGTTCACCCAACGGAAACAGCGGTGGCAGGCCCGGGAGTGCGGAGCTCTAAGCAGATTCCAGTGGCGTCCACAGCACACACTGCTCATGCAGCTTGCTCTTTGTCACCTGTCATGGTTCCAGGGAGGTCCCAGCCCGGGTTTGTCCTTTTCTTTACTAATTTACATTTCCAGCTTCCATGTAAGCACCTGGCTGCACTGCATCTTCCCCCAAACCTCAACACACCTGCTCATTTCCTCCCAAGCTTCCTAATTGCTGGAGGGCATTTAAATCCAAGCTTTTTCCTTGTGTTTCCTAAAGTACTACAAGACCCACTAAGAACCAGTTCTTGCAGAGTAGTGTATCACCACCACCTCCCCTCAGGGATGGGTGCCTGGGCAAGGGCTTGAGTTTAGAGCTCTCTCTAGGGAGTATTCTCAAAACTACAGGGCAAACAGAGGTGCTCTCTTCCATCACACCCATTAGCCCTATGAACTCTTGTTTACATCACTTAGATGAAAAAAAAAAAAAAGGTCCTCTGGATCTAGACTTGCCCTCAATAACATGTTAGGGCCCAAACCAAACACCAGCTGATAGAAACAAAAGCAATCGGCCACAAGCGGATTGGCAATGGATATAATCCACGTGGTTCCCATGTTCAAACGGCAACCACAATGTAAACATACAACCTGCGCATCTAAAGGGGCTCAAATAATACGAAATGCAAGGAATTTACTTACACTTTCTACTTTATAAAAGTCACTATTTTACCACATCAAAGCCTCCCAATAGGAACCATTTACCTCCCACAGTGCTCAATCAGATCCTCACCTCTACAAAGACCAGGAACGAGTAAAATGAAGGAGGGGAGCTGGTTTGACTGGAAGTGCTCGCTGGTAGGTGGTAGGTATGTCAAAGACACAGCATTGAGAGTGTAAGCGACACAGACACAAATACAATTTTACCTAGACTAGTGACCACAGAGAGGGTTAAGAACTGAAGATCTCAGTCTGAGACAGACAAGTTAAACTGATCAAGATTCAAGCAATGAGGTCATGGGACACCCCCACACTTCTGTATGTTGTAAACAGAGTGGGACACCCCTACACTCCTGTATGTTGTAAACGGAGTGGGACACCCTACACTCCTGTATGTTGTAAACAGAGTAGGACACCCCTACGCTCCTGTATGTTGTAAACGGAGTGGGACACCCCTACGCTCTTGTATGTTGTGAACGGAGTGGGACACCCTACGCTCCTGTATGTTGTAAACAGAGTAGGACACCCCTACGCTCCTGTATGTTGTAAACGGAGTGGGACACCCTACACTTCTGTATGTTGTAAACAGAGTGGGACACCCAACACTCCTGTATGTTGTAAACAGAGTAGGACACCCCTATGCTTCTGTATGTTGTGAACGGAGTGGGACACCCTACACTTCTGTATGTTGTAAACCGTTATGCTTCCCCAGCTTCGCCTCAGCCAAGGGCAGATGCATTGATAACTGGCATGTGTCTAGTGCTTCCAAACTTTAAAACCCTTTCACATCTATAAGCCACCTGATCCTCACAACAACCCTGTGAGGTAGGCAGGGCAGGAGTGACTACTGAGCCCCTCAACAGACGAGGAGAGTGCTGGAGAGGTAAAGAGGATTGCCTCACTCTAGTGAGGAGGAGGAAGCCAGGACAAGCTAGCTATGGATTTGTTCCTTCTGGTTTCTACTAGGCCACCCTTCCGTTCCTCAAGGCCTTTCCATTAGTGGAGAATCTTAGGAAAAGGAACTCACTACCGTTCTGCGTATCAGCAGTTCATCTATTCTTTTTTTCTGAAGACAGAAAGGGAGCCAGGGTTCCAGAAGGTAGTTGTTCGATGTGGGCTTGTAACAGTCTGGAAAATAGGTCCATTCAACCAGTTCCTAGCTTTTGGTATTTGAAATCAATCTCTGAAGCAACTTCTCAAGCCCTAGCTGAAAAGCTCCAGTTGCTTCTTCCACCGCCGTTGCCAAGCGTCTGACGGCGATGACAGTGTCCCTGCGCAGCTCATTGGCAGTGTCTTGCTGGGCACTGGCCTCCTCACCAATAGCAATCAGCCTGTCCAGCTTCTCTTCCTCTCTCTTGGAGAGTTCTCGCGCCAATCTCCTATTCTCTGCCAACTCAGCTGCAATGGTCCTGGCCACTGAGCGCCTTCTTCGCCTTGCCCACCGTGGAGGGGGCTCACTGGTCAGAAGTCTATCCCCACCAGAGATAAAAGCAACTCTGGAAGAGGAGCCTGGAGGCTGTGGTGTGGAGGCTGCCCCAAGAGGGTTTCGGCTGCTGCTGGTGCAGGGACTGGATTCCCTCGACACACCCAGTCTGGTCATGGGGCTGCTCTGACAGGGAGCAACTGAACCTCTGAAAAGGTGGTGGGAGCTGCTGTAGCTGGGGGTCCCTTGAGAGCACCCTGAAAAACAAAGCCACAGTGTTGCAGAGAGGACATTCCTGCTAAGGGAATGCTTGCAGCCAGCAACTGAGTTGAGACAGTTACAAAAGTAGGGCAGTTCTTGGAAAAGTCTCTTTCCACAAGGGAATAAAGGGAAATGATTCTGTAATGTGGATATTTTGGTTCTAATCATCTATAAAACTGACCCTGTGAGTTCCCCAAGACCCTTCCCATGTGGCTATGTAACCCATTCTTTTCCCCATGTATTCTTAAGTACCCATTACAAATAATGCCCAAAGCTGGACATTATCAGTGTTGGAGCATTTGCCTGGCATGCACAAATAATGGCCACACTAGTATGCTTTGAAAAAACATGTCTTTATGTGTGAAGAGTTTGACTACATACGTAAGGTCATAGCTAAAAACTTGGGAGTACTTGAAAAAGGGGGTTCAATGAGACAGAAATCAGTTATGCTCAAGAGGGTGCTATCCAAGCTTTTAATACTATTTGGGATCAAGTGACTCTAAGCCCCAGTCCCTTTCATGCTTGGGAGTTACCTGCACCCGAGGAGTCATCCCAGGAGTCCTCAAGGTCACTGGCTTCTGGCATCCGATCACTGATTCTCAGCTGACAATCCTCATCTGATTCCTTAACTGTTTGCAAAATACGCTGGTGACCAGCTGCCTGAGTCCTTTTCGATTTCCGCATGCTGCTTCCCTCTTCCCCTGGGGTGTCAGAGGCCACTAAATTCTGATCACAGTGCTTGGCCCAGGCAGCAGCCTCCATTAAGTTGTCTGGGTCAGTCACTATCTGATTTCGAAGAAGCTGATCCAACATATCATAAAATGGACAGTGCGGTGGATCCCCCATACTTGTGGCATGGGCAACATAGGCCTTTAAATACAATGCCTTCAGAACTTTAAACTTGGAGCGGCACTGGCGTTCGGTGCGGCGGAAGCCTTCCTGCTGCATCCGCTTAGACACGGCCTGATAGACATCTGCATTATGATGCATAGTCTGGAGGCGTTGGATGTACTCTGCCTCACCTAGTATGGAGAGAAGAGTTCGTGTCTCCTGTCTGGACCAACGGATGCCCGCACTGCTATTGGTGGTGGCCATAGTGGGCTGGGAAGGCTACTGAAGCAAGCTCCTGGGCAGCAGGGTACAATTTTGAAGGCGTGGGGAAGTTCTGTATGCTCTCAGCATATTTCCAGGAGGAGCCAGCCGGTTCTTTCCTCTCAGGGCTAATTGCTGAGAAGCCAGGTCTGAGGACAACACTTCTGGCTGGAAAGCCACAGGGGAATGAGAGTTACAGGGAAGGTGTAAGGATCATTCTGGCAGCAAGATAAGCACTGAGGTTTATGGCCAAGACTCTGGGAACTCATCCGCTCACAGGAAGTACTGGACTATGGGCTTAACAGCTTGATAACAAAAGGAACGGCTTTTACAAAGGGCTCAATGTACTCAAGGCTAAGGCCTGATATAATCAAGCTTTATAAAAATGACCATGGTCTGGTTAAGTAGCTGGGCCGAGGAGGAAAATAACCCGAACACGAGGCAACTACCTCTACAGAAGTACTTACTACCAGGGCTGTGTGGTCTCGTGGTACTTATGAACAGTATTCGACTTTTACTAACTTTGGTTTATTTACTGTGGTGTGTGTATGTGTTACCCATCTGACTCACTACTGAATTCTTGCTAAATGGATTTAACTTTCAAGGCCAGAAAAATGAGCTTAAGCTGGTCTGCTAATATAAAGTACATAATATGATAAATGACAGTCAGAGTAGCATAAAGGAAACAAATCGAAACATCACTGGCTTCCAGGGCATAGATCTGGAAATGTTCTCTGTCTTGACTGGGTCAACATTAGTGCCCTGGAGTGATACTCAACTATAGTCTTGCAGGACGGTACCACGGGGGAAATGGTAAATCTAATAATATACTGGTTGTCTTTGCTTTCTTGAAACTAGAATTATCTCCAAAGGGGGAGGGTCACTAAAAAAATTACTGGTTCCTCAATGACTCTGGCTTCAAGATCTATCACAACTCCTCATTTATGACTCAAAAACATTTGATGACAATTTATTTTTAATATGCTTAGCAGGATATTTTAACATACTTAGTAATAACTACCAAAGCTAAAGGATATGGGAGTATAATTATCACACACACACACACACACACACACACACACACACACACACACACACACAAAATCTGAATTCATTCCTAAATATTCTGTTATCAAGTTCAGTGTACTAAACAGGCAAGAACTAGATAAATAAACATGTATAGGTAAATGAAGTATTAAATTTAACTAACAATCTCTAAATTTTAAAATCAACACAAGGAAATGTCTAATATTTGCTTTCTAATTAAATGAAGTAGACCAGAGAGAGTGGAGCTGAGGATTGAGTCCCGATCTGCAGGCTCATCTAATTCATCTCTTTAATTTGGAAAAGTCACAAATTCCTTGTGCCTTGACTTCCTCATCTATAAACAGCAAAGAAGAGTACCCGCCCGACAGATTTTTATGAGGGTGTTGAGAGGAGTCAGTAGAATCACAGATGTGAAAGCCCTTGAAACACCATCGAGTACCACTACTCCACAGAAAATGAAAAGGCCTAGTTATTATGGTAATCCATAATTTGAGGAGACAGAAGTCTGGGGAAGCAAGCTTCTATAATTTTCTAATTAAAGTCACAACAGATGATTGACCTGCTTCTTAAGATATTAATTAAGCTGTTTCTCTGATGATTACATTTGTGAGTCAACTGGAAAAGTCAGTTCCCACAAAGAGTCACGAAGGGCCCCCAAGGAGGAGGATCAATAGCAGCTACATAAATTAAGACCAATTACAAGAGATTTTGCAAAACTCAATCACCATTCAGAGAAATCTTCAAGTTCCAAGAAAATTATTCAAGTTCATTGCTAAAATCATATAAAAATACAAAATGCCCGAAGTACTACTTGTGAATGACACAAATGCCCAAAAGTAAATGAACGCTGGCATTCATGAACGCTAGTGGACCTGTTAGCAAGAATGGAATTTCTCTGAGCAAGCCCACTGGGGTGCTCCCTAAGATGACAAGCATCACACAAACTGTAGTGTCTCTAGTTCCATTCTGCCTAGAACTTACAAACATATTTTTTGGTTACCACATCTTAAAAAGTACTTTACATCATACCTTCTGCCAAGGATCTGCTTCACTTTCACTACTGTGCTTGAAATATTTCTTATTCTACTTTGTTTTGCTGCCAGACCAACCACCTGAAAAAAGAGCAGCGTATTAACTACAATGCATGTAATTTTTCATTATTTTCGAGTACAAAATTGAGCATAAGAGAGAGTACCTGTTCATTTTCCGAGTAAGCAACGATGGCTGGTGTGACTCTATCTCCTGCATCATTTGCAACCACATCGGCCCGGCCATCCTAAAAAGACATACAAGGGTTAGTTCTCTCACACTGGAATAAACAATCTTATTGAACTTATCTGCAGGTTGTAGTGGAATTTTAGAAGAGCCTGTGTACTTGGCATTTAGTCGGAGTGATGGCCATTTAGGTCCTGAAGTAATCTTTTGTAAATAATCAGTGACTGCTGTCTGAGATTTAGGAGGTTGCTCTTCCTTTGGGAAATTCAGAGCCTTTGCATGACCTCAGTCACAAGACATTCCTGGCAAACCAGGAATTCTTGCAGTGGCTGAGAACTGCTTAGGTCATGGCTCCTCAGACAACTCCTAGATCAGATAAGAGGTTTTGGTAGTCGGGAATTGACTTGCTAAAAGGCCTTTTGTGTAACAATCAATAAAAGCGCTTCTGCAAGGCTACTCTGGGTTCAGTCCTCAGAGACTGGTCCACCCTGCTGCGTGCAAAACCTTATTCTATCCTTCAGTGTCTCTCTTTCTTCTATCATCCAGCTTAACTCAGAACACCGACAGCAGGTTACTTTGCCATCTATGTGGAAAGAAAAAACGGTAAAACAATCTTTTAACTGCCACTATTAGTTTCAAGGCTTCTACTCCATGCATTTTTTCCTGGTTAGTTCTGCACAGTAAACGGAATCAAACATTCTATACCCAAAAACTAGTAAGCATTGTTACACATGCCTCTCCCACAAATACACCTTTCCCCCCTACTTTCCTACAAACGCAGTAGCTAATCCCTTGGAACTTTCCTTATAAATCACGTATCGCTTGAACCCGGAGCTAGAAATAGGTAAACTCCTTGTCATTGTTCCTTCTGCCCCGATATTCAGGAAAAAAAAGCCACAGCTCCTTGTCAAGTTCTCAGTTCCAGAATCATCAAGTGTGCACAGCAGTGTCAATTTTTAACCAAGTACCCTCCAGGTAACCTCTAGGCTGCAGTTCCACAGCACTTCTGGTTGCCCGAAATTCCAAAGACCTCCCACCTCCCGGAATCCCGAGCCCGTGACGTCACCGTGACCTCGGGGGAGTCTGTAGTCAGTAGTCACTAAGAACTCTCAGGCATCCAGGGGATCCTGACATCCAGGCTTGTTGTAAGCATCTTTATAAGAACGATGGCCCGGGGACTCCTCCAGGCATTCTGAGCTCTGACATCTTCTGAACCTTTCTGGTCATCCTATGGCCACGGCCTCCTAAGTGCACCCTGCAGGCTTGAGGTGCCGGAGACTCCTCTGGGTATCCCATAGCCTTCCCGTCCCTGGAACGCCTCAAAAGAGACAGCAGCCCCGACGTCCCAGTAGGGAATCCCAGAGTGCCGGAGATCCCTTCTGTATCCACCCTCCCTCCACGCAGCGGGCTTGGCCGTGGAGGACGAGAGCGGAGAACCCGCAACATCGCCACTTGCTCGTACGCAAGGTTTGGGGGCGGATGACCCGGAGCCCAGAGAACAGGGTTGCCGCCACGAAACCCGGAGCCAGCTTCCCAGTCTCACCTTGTAGACAGCCACACAGGCCGATGTGCAGCCCAAGTGCACGCCGATCGCCGCCATGAGGCGGCGGAGACCACGGCAGCTCAACGAGGGACCCTTCAGCAGCCACAGCTAGCTTCCTCGGAGTAAGCCCATCAGGCACTGCGGAGACTTCACGTTCCCGCCCGCCTACTGCGTCCGGTCTGCTGCGCCGGCCTCCCGAGTCGCAGCCAATCATCATAAAGATCCCGCCTCCCTTCACAGCGGATAGCCAATAATCTTGGCGCATCACTCCGCGCTCCTTTGGAGCCCGGCGTGTTTGCCGTGACGCGCACGCGCAAGGCGGAAAGGACCGGAAGAGGCTCATTAGCTCCTTCCTCTCCTGAGCCCAGTTCATGAGAGCCAATGGGAACTCTTGGCGAAATTGCGTCACTTGTTTCCTGCCTCTTACCCGGCTCGCGAGGTTGCCTACGGCGACAGTAGTGCAGGAGGCACTGGCCGTTCCCAATCCCAGGCTCAGCATGCGGTGCACCAGCCTACCTACCCTAGTGACCTTTTGCGCCGGGCTTTGGATCTCGGACCTGGTGCTGGCGCAGGGCCTGGAGGCCGGTGTGCAGCCGGGGGCTGACTGTGAAGGTGAGCGGTGTGTGACCTGCTTGCATGGCGGCGACACCAAGCTCAGCCCAGCTGTTATCTAAGCAGCTTCTCCCGGCCCAGGCTGTAAATAACATCTCACCCAAGAAATGCGGCCCAGTCAGGCATTTACCCCCACCTTTGGCAGCCTAAGCAAAAGCTTGACTTGGGCCCAGTGACGCTTGAGGACATGTTCTGCTTTCTGCTGTTACTAAGTTGGCGCAGGAAAACGAGTGAGTTAGGATTCTATTGGATTTTGTGCAAATGACCTCGTTGCCAACTGAATTCTGTTGCTCCTAAACTGGGGAGATTTGCCTCTTTGTGCATAAGACATGTTCTGAGGTGCAAACTAATTTGTCACTCCCAGAAGGAAAATAAAACAAGATAATATGCTAGGGTTGCTGAAATCAAAGACAAAGTTAACGCTGGTTAGCACTTTATAGACGGAAGTCGCTTTACAAGGGAGCACATTAATTCCTTGAGAAGAGAAAGATAAATAGAAAGATGACTTTTTTCTTTTATGGACTTGGTGATCAGTACACCTTTATTCATTCCACCAAACCCCCTGGCTTTGAGGGTGTTGTACTACCTAGATTTTACAAAAAGAGCATGCATTTTAGAGGGCTGTTAACAAGAACCAAGATGAGAGTTTTGATAGTCCCTTCCTTTGGGACCACTGCAGCACTTAACATCCTCGTTTTAGTGAAATAAATTTAAATGTGTGTCCTCTGATCTTGAGAGTGGACACACTAAACCGGAAATGTAGACTCACAAGATTCACATGGAATGAGTGGTTGAATGTGTAGTCTTACTGTAAATAAATAAAACCTTAATAATTGGAGTCCAGCTTTCTATCAGCAATTATCAAATCTTTCTCTAGAAATTTTAAAATAGGTTAAATGTTATTTTAAAACTCTGTAGGGGCTGGAGAGATGGCTCAGCAGTTACGAGCACTAGCTGTTCTTCCAAAGGTCCTGAGTTCAATTCCCAGCAACCACATGGTGGCTCACAACCATTTGTAATGAGATCTGGCGCCCTCCTCTGGCAAGCAAAACACTGTATACACAATAAATAAATCTTAAAAAACAACAAAAAACAAACAAAACAAAACCTCTGTAAATAGATAGTTGTTTCACAGTTATAATTTCGGTTAAAGATCTCATTTTGGGCAATCAGATGGCTCAACAGCTAAAGGTGATTGTTCCCAAATCTGAAAATCTCAGTTTGGTCCTCAGACCTTACAGTTTGGTGTCTCCAGACTCTACACGACTGAAGGAGAAAAGCCACTCTTGCAGGTGTCCCCTGGCCTCCACACAGAGCCATGGTGTGCTGACTCACGAAATGAATCAATAAGTAGATAAGCAAATAAACAGGTAAGTAAATAAATACATGTGATAATTTTTAAAGATCTCGTATTTCCCAACACATTTCAGCTTCATTTGTGAGGCATGTACTATCATCCATTTGAAGAGCCATTCATAATTAATTTTTTGTAGTTTTGGCCTGAAAACACATCAGAAGAGACAGCGCATCTGGATTAACGGAGAAGCCTGCCACCTTTTCTAATTTGCTAGTCTGTTGTGATTATTAGTTTGCACGTCTGGCTAACCCACTAATGTATCCTTATTTATTCAGTAAGGAGGCTACGTACTCACACACGTGGGAATTATCATGGAGCAAGAGCTAGACTTTATATTGTGTTCTATTACTGCGTATTAGCCTTTTTATTTTATTTATTTTGTGTGTCTGGCACAAATGCCACAGTGTATGTGAGGAGGTCAGAGAACAGAATCCTTTCCTTTTGCAGTGTGGGTCCTGAGACTCAAACTCAGGCCATCAGACTTGGCAGCCAGCTCTTTTACACCCTGAGCTATCTCACCAGCCCTTGTGAGCACTTATTAGTTACTTAATTTCCCATCAGTGTATCAGATTAAAATAATGTATTATATTGCATATAACACAGCATGTATTATATTGCATATAATAATACAGTATATTGTATATAATATAGCCATGGTAAAACATATGGTTGTTGTAGAATATTATTTTAAGGCGTGTTACTTTTGCTTATGTTGCATTTGTTTAACTCTGTGAAGCTGTGTTACTTTGCCTGACTAAAACACCTGATAGTCTAATAAAGAACTGAACAGCCAATAACAAGGCAGGAGAGAGATAGGTGGGGCTGGCAGGCCAAGAGAATATATAGAAGGAGAACTCTGGGAGGAGGAAGAAAAACAGAGATGGAGGACTGAAAAGAAGGAGGAGCCAGAGAAGGAGGAGGACTCCAGGGGCCAGCCACAGCAAGCACGGAGTAAGAGTAAGATTTGCAGAAGTAAAAGAAGGGGAAAAGCCCAGAGGCAAAAGGTAGATGGGATAATTTAAAGTTAAGGAAAGCTGGCAAGAAACAAGCCAAGCTAAGGCTGGGTATTTGTAGTTAAGAATAAGCCACTCTGTGTGATGTATTTGGGAGCTGGGTGGCGGACCCCTCAAAAGAGAAAAGAGCCCAAAACCAACCAACAACATATGGTCATGGGCCCCTTTCGACCTGTTGATGTGTTCTGGTTGGGGGAGATTTTCAAATTGCCTTTCTTATTCACTTTGCTTAACCAGTCCCTGTAGACAGTTTAGTTTGTGAGTCTTGGGCTTAGGTAATTTGAGGTTTTCTGAGAAAACTTGAAAAGGATTTTATTATGGAACTTAAACTATTTTGAAATCAGTATAGATTGATGTATGAAACTACTTTAATAAACAAAGAAAGCCCTGCAGCATGAATACAAGAAAGGAAACCATTTGACAGCACACTAACAAACACAAGCCAGGGCCTTAAGCTACTAGCTTCAATCATCCCTGCTGAAGTTAT